AAAAAGGATAATATGGTAGGGCCAGGGGCGGAGTTAAGGGAGGCCAAAACTAATATAATAATATATATATTATTAAAAAGTTTATTTATTTAAATTAAAAATATTACATAATAAAAAAATTTAAAATATTTTGCAGCGCCCGGCCCCTGCTTACCACCTCTGGATAGAGCCAAGTGGAATTTGATCCACGAAACTCAAGAAATTTTAGTAGCTTTTGGTAATCATTGTATGATAATAAAAGAGAGAGAACAAAATAAAAAAAATAGATAGAGATAAAATTATATTCAATAGTAATATATGATAAAAATGAATATATTTATATTATCTTTGATTAGGATGAACAAAATTAAATAAAGTATAAAAAAATATATTTTATTATTAATATTTTTTTTTTTAAATTTATATATTTTAAAAATTAATTAGATATTACTATTTATATTTTAGCTTATATCGAGTATTGAAGTTAATAAGATCACAATAACCGTAGTTATAAAATCAGGATTGACTTGACGGGTTAACCCATAACTTAAATTGATTTGATTTAAAAAATAAAGAAATAATTAATTTGACCTAACCTAGTAAAAATAAAACAAGTCAACTCAAGATAAAATATGGATAAAAATACTCATTGATTTTTTTATAAAAAAAATTAATCAAAACAGATTGCTTTAATTATTTTTTAAAAACATTTGGGTCAACCAGGTTGACCCTCCTAAGTACTCATGACCTAAACGTTGTCTTAAATCAAATATTGAATCGAGTTTTAAAACTATAATAATAACTATTTTTATTTATACATTGACTCGAGTCAACCCGAGTTGACCCTCCTGATTTGTGACCCGGGCCTTCTCCTGAGTTAACCCTTGAATCGAGTTCTAAAATTATGATAATAACCATCCTTATTTTATGTTGACCATCCTGACACCTGAGTTTTAGATCGAGTTCATTCCCGAGTTGAGTTTTAAAATTATAATAACAACTATTTTTGTCATTCCATTGACCTGAGTCAATGGTCAACCCTACTCATGACTCGTGCCTTACATTATATCAACCCTCGAATTAGATTTAAAAATTATGATAATAACTATTTTTATGCTTATACTAATTTGGATCAATCCGATTCATAACCTGAATTTTATCTAAAATTGACCATCAAGTTAGATTTTAAAATGATGATAATAGTAATTTTTATCCTAATATATCTTGGTTCGACAATTCTAAAATTGAGAATTTTTCTTAATGATATTTTAGGAATAAAAAATAAAAAGTAGTTTTTATAAACATATTCTTTTTATATCTTCTATTTTAAAAATACATAAATTTATTCTAAAATTATCTTAGAAACAAGATTTATTTTTATATTTTTTTCTCTTTCATTAAAAATATTTTTATTTATTTTATCCTAAAATAATAACCAAACGTTACTTTACAATCCCTTTAAGATCTAGGATCTAAAATCCATCTTAGCTTCTTTTTATGATTAAAAATGGATGAAATTTCAGCGCATAGCCAGCATGTTATTCTCATATTCCAGCAAAATACTAGAGAGGGACCAATAATTTTATAATCGCCTGAAATTGTCCGCCCTTAATTTTGGAAATTCAGTGCCCATCATAATCAATACTTTGAGAACTCCGTCAGGTTCTGTTGCCTTTTCCTTGTCGAAATAAAAGATATCAGACACCCGGAGAGAGTTTTGTTTCCAGCAAGTTTGAATTTTACCTTTTACTTTTGAAGGATGCGAAGGGCATGTTCAGTATTTTGTTTTAAAAGTATTTTTAAAAAGATTTAATTTTTTTATTTTAAATTAATATATTTTTAATATTGTTAAATTATTTTGATATATTAATCTCAAATATAATTTTTTAAAAATAAAAAATATATATTATTAATATATTTTTTTAAATAAAAAATATTTTAAAATACAACTGTAATTATACTCTCAAATATTTCTCCGAATACACTTTAAATTTTACCATTATCACCTATTTGTTTAAATCACTATATAAAATCTACGAGGATATTAACTTTTTTTTTTTATGAATTTGAGCTCATATGGCTACCATGTACATGGTGGATGTTAAAAAGATAGAAATTTCCATGGTCTTAGCTTAGATTTTTTTAAAAAACTTTGATATGTTCTCAAATGTTTATAATTTATAAAATTAATTTTTGAATATGAAAAATTTTTAATTTATTGATTAGATAGCTTACAAGACTATTAATTAAATACAAGAAAAATATTCTAATTAGTAAAATTATAATCATATTGTAGGTGATAATCTAAATAGAAAAAAAATACAAAAATAACTAGTATACTAAAAAATTTATGAAACAATAGCTTCCAATTTTAATTTGGATATGTGAACAAAAACAATTGGTAAACCAATTGCTCCTATGTAGAATTGGGTTTTTAAAATGATTTGATAAAATATTAGTTCAATTTAATAAAAAATTAAAAGTTACATTTATTTTTATCGAACAATATTGTGCTCAGTCAAAAACTTCTAAAAAGATAGAAAATCTTAATAATTAAGGGAGTAACATAATAAAAATAATCATTTCAAGAATAACGAATATTATACCACCCGTCACTAAATTATTGTATAATATAAAGAATTTGGTTTGATTGCTAATTGAACAATGAATCCAACTCATTAGATTTTTAAGATTCAAATTTTAAACTAGTAAGATATGATTATCATTAGTATAATAAATACTCCAACTATGATTTTTTTTGTATAGTGGAAAGAAAAAAAAACTATGATCTTTTTAGGTAAACAAAACCTAGAGAATTAGATAACAACGAATGACAAACTCTAAAAAAATGTTCTTCTAAATACATAAATCAGAGTTACTTTTAGTTACAAGCTTAGTCATATAGTTAATACATGAATTAGCTCCATGCAAAATATGAAGTAAACGAACTTTTTAATTTCATGTCAGGAGTTTTTTATGTAAAAAATAACAGTTCCAAATAAATGATACTTGTTAAAATCATTATGAATCAATTGAATAACAATTATAAAATCAAAGTTGCATGTAACCTTTCTGAAACCTTTATCCCATGCCACCAATAAACCATATGTACTTCCTAATAGTTCTAAAAGCAGATTAAAACTAAAACCTCCATAGCTCATAAAACCCATAAACCATCTCTTTTTAGAATTTTTTAAGAGACCTCTAAATACAATCCTCCTCATGTTCCTAAGAGAGGTGCCATTCAGATCCAGTTTAATAAATTCTTCTTTAAGCCTAAGCTATGAGATGATAGTGGGGTGCCTATGCACTATATTTGGATTATTTCAAGCATCGCAACACACATCTTTTAGAAAATGAATTTGATATAACAACCAATTATCCCCTAAATATTCCTCTTTAAAAGCTAAAATATTACTCCTCCTCCAAATCCACCAGATACCAAACAAGAATAACAAGGAAATGTCTGTTGAGGCAAATCTTTGAACCTACTCTACCATATTAAAACACCAAAGCTCCAGAACCCTTGCCAATAACAAGGAAATGTTTGTTGAGGCAAATCTTTGAACCTACTCTACCATATTAAAACACCAAAGCTCCAGAACCCTTGCCAATTTGTGAGACCTAGTTCAAGCTAAATACTTATAGCAAACACACTATATCTAATACAATGTAAATTATCCTCGTCCTCTGGTTATAACCACCATATAATAGAGATGAAGAAATATTGTGTTTCAATCACAATAAATTAATGGGAAGGATATTATGAAATAATTACCAAATGAACATGGATTGTAGGATATTATGAAATAATTACCAAATGAATATGGATTTTTT